CAGGCTCCGGCGGCTCGAGCATGAGATACCGCGGCGTCAGACGCCGGCCTTGGGGCCGTTACGCGGCGGAGATTCGTGACCCTTTGTCGAAGGAGAGGCGGTGGCTCGGGACGTTCGACACGGCGGAAGAAGCCGCCTGCGCCTACGACTGCGCGGCTCGAGCCATGCGCGGCATCAAGGCTCGGACCAACTTCGTCTACCCGATCCTCCCTCCTCCTCCACCGCCCCCGCCACTGGAGCCTCTTCGCCACCGTATGTTTTTGCCTCCGCCGTCTCCGGCGAACATGTTTCTTCTAGGCGACGTTATAACGTCGTCGCAGTCTCTTTGTCGTGTCTCTAACCTCCAAAACGACGTCGTAAACGTTGTGCATGGGACTTTAACGGGTACAGTTGCCAAATCAGAAGATGATCTTACACATAAAGCGAAGAAGATGAACACCGAAAACGACAAGAACTCCGTAACGCCGTTCTTCGAACCGGAACCACTCGGGTCCGGTCTTCTTGAAGAGATCGTTCAAGGGTTTTTGCCGAAACCTAGCTCGGAAGAAGCATCGGTTCCTCCATTGCCAAAGACTTCTCTTGGTCATAATAACCAGCCGTCGATGGTTGATGTGTTTCCGTCGCCGGAGAGTAGTTTTCCGGCGAATATATGTTCCTTGAATGGCGGGAAATGGGAAAATGCTGAAGAAAATGATGGCTTTCCGGGGAATCATCATCAGAGCGTGGATTGTGTTCAACGTGGAGAATTTGGTTGGGTCGACAGTGGGATTGCGGCTACTCTCGACCGTAATGGCTGTGTTGGGATGTGTTGGAATCATTATCCGTACTGCTTTCATGATTATTAGCTCGTTATCTTATTAGTATTATGAAGTTTATCCCGCTAAGCAATTTGCTGCTACATTTTAGGGTTTTGAGGAATGAGATTAGGGTAACCTTGGAGTCAAAATCTCTGTCTTTAGCGATCAGTTCATGATTGCTGCTGTATTAGATGGGATAAGTCTTAATCAGCTTAGGCATGGAGATTTTCTACGTAGTAATCAGTTTATTAATGAGATGTTTACATGGTTTACAGTTTATATATGGAAATCAAAATATTATTTCATGTTTTCGGATCGTATAGTACAAATGTTTGACGTGCGATAACGCACCTCCTTTTCGATTAAGATGATTAGAAAATGTTTAATGAACCACGATCGATCGCTATAACATAAAACAATGAGAAATGAAATATTTCCATATAATGGTTTTGCGATCCTTAAATTACGCAGTGTTAGTAGTCAGTCCATTAATATTAAGGATAATTTCGTTCTATGGAATTAATTTTTTACCAAAAAAAAAAGAGAGAAATGAAATGATGTGTTTCCATTCACACGTTTATTCATTTTCTACCGTCGAACCCTATTTTATGCTTACTACATAAATTACAAGAGTATGAAAATTTAATTATTAATGAAATAATAATGGACCGGGAGAAAAATGCATACGGTAGAATAAAGACAAGAAAAAGGAGACGAATGAGATCCAAGGAGATCTAACTCAAAAGCTTTTCGACTGAGTTGACTTCGGAAGTTAGAAAGACAGCCTTTGTCTTTTCTTATCCTGCATCTATAAAAACATTTATTTAATTTATTTTTAAAATATGAGTGTTATAATTAATTAGTACAACAACTAATTAATGTCGAAGAACAAGATTTGACGTTTGCAGTAACGAGATAAGAAATTTTTAGAATTAATACTCGGTTTCTCGAGACATTCGATTACGACACCCACCGGTTACAAACGCAATTCCGTTATAACGAAACATTTTTTTTAATGCAGTTGAGAAAATTATTGTACATTTTGTTAGTTTTAAAAATTTTAATAATTAATTTTCACCGTTTTACAAGTTAAGTAAACATTCTTAATGGGATTTTATCCATTTTGATTTTGATATTTCTCTTGAATTCAATCATCCCGACGGTGATGATAGAGTGTATATATGATCTTATAATGTTTTGCAATTGTTCCCAATGCATTTGGTCATATATGAAATAAACTCTAGCCACGGAGGTTGTGATTTTTCTTCTGGCTGTTCCTATGAAACATATATAATATATCCTATGATTTTTGTTAATAGAAAGAGTTTATAGAGAAAATCTGTATTTTATATAAAGATTTTCTAATCTAGATATGATATATTTTTTTTATAATACGAAAGTTTATTAGGTATTCGACCCAATATATTTTTTAAAGGATCGAATTTTTAAAACGTAGGAAATCTATGTAAATACCCCTAAATGAAGACTCGAATCTGAATTGTGAAAGATTTTTTACATATGTTTTACCGATTAAATTAAATTATCTAGATGATATTATCTTTCTTAATAATATATAAATATAATATTCTTTAAGTTGTAGTGTGTAACTGAATTTTCCGAAGAAAAAATAAAACAATATCTCATATCATTTTATATCGTTAAATTTTTGAATAATAAAATTTCACATTCAAAGAAAAAAAATATGATATACACAACATTTAAAAAAAAAAAAAACGAGTCATGTGATGATCCATCACAATTTAGACCCTAAATCACACGTCATCAATTAACGAATCGTTGTTGATTCATAATTAAATAATGCCGTATGGGACAATTTCATGTGATATCTGATATATTAATGGTTCTGGACGATGTGGCGGACGAAACAATTAAAAAATAAAATAGCGGAAAGTGGGAGTGAAATAACAAAGTTCAAAATACTTAAAATTTTGTCTTTCTAAATAATATAACTTTTGGTTCTGTTTTTAAAAATGAATCATGTTTTAATATTCAAATAACTCAAATAATTTTACAAAATTGAAGGAAAAAAGGGACTTATGTTTAAGCTATATAGAAGATTTAATTCGATATATATTTGTTATGGAAGAGATAATAAATGGACCGACGAAGGCATGGGGGCTTTTGAACGAGGTGGTTGAAAAAACATTATGAAAAAAGCGAATAGGATACAGTTGGTCGTTGGGGAAGTCCATCATCGTTCCCGTGATTGACACCAACCTAAAAGCCCATGAAATTTTAAATAAAATAATAATTTTAAATAAATATAAAATTATATAATATTTTCGAAATAGACAGCAAATCACTCAAATCTCTCTGCGGAAATTAGATTCATCCTTAGAGGTACGTACACTTGCCCGTTCTCCATTGCTATGAGTAATTTCGTATCTTCGATCCGTATACGTTTTTTCCCCGCATACGAATGATTATACGGTTTTTATTACGTTCTAAGATTACAATAAGGATATACATATATCTTTGATTCGCGTTGTAAATCGATATGATACGATACATATCGCGTACCGTTTATATATATATAATATGATACGATTTCGTGTTATTAACCGTTTCACGTAGAAATGGAGAAGGTGCAACAGATGATGAACGAAGAGAACATGAAGACGGAGATTCCGGCGCCAGAAAACAGCTCCGTCGCGGAAGTGGTGGCGAGCTCCGGCGGACTGACACGTCAGACGAGCATCACGAAGAACAACTGCCTCTGTTCTCCGACGACTCACGCCGGATCTTTCCGGTGTAGGCTTCACCGGACTCCGGCGGCTCCTCAGCCGTCGTCTCTCCAACGTACACAGAGCATTGAGGCCGGTTCTCTTTATGAAACTCCGGCGAAGAAGGCGGATTCCGGCGACGGAAACGCTAACTAGTTTTAGATTGTTTTAAAGTTTATATACGATGTATTTTTAATTTTCGTGATGATTTGCAAAAGGTTGATGCATGCGTGGACCGGTCATGTTACTTGTTGTTATGAATGTAGATTCAATCAATCGGGACATGGTGTAATACCCTATTAAATTAAGTTAATGGTGTTATAAGATTGTACTAATTAATTTTCAAAAATGCACTAAAATGTATTTGATTAAAGACTAACAAAAAAATAGATTTTTTTTAGAAAAATCACATATAAATACCTCAAAACACTTTAAAACATACTTTAAATTTGATATAATCGAGAAAACAAATATCAAAATATTTTAAAATGATATCTTAAATATTAAAATGTTTTAAATTGATATCACATCTCATGAATCGATGTTAATTCTTAATTTTTCATATGATATAAGAATTATTTGTATGAACCAATCTATATATATAAAAGTTGGGTTTAAAGGATTGTGGTGAGGACATCTAGGATCCACATCATCATCCATGTGACAAAATTTTAAATGATGTTAATTAATGTCTTCATTAGATATATGCCATATAATACAAAAAATAATCTTCATTAGCTAGATGACATATAACAGATTTTATAATTAAAAAATCATTCATCTTTATTATATAGAAAATCAATTCTAATATTGGTTTTATATATTAGTAAAAATCTTATTTGATCACACATATATTTAGAATTATTTGTTAGTTAAAAAATCTGTTAAATTCACTTGATATTTTTTTTCAAATTCTGATTATAAAATAATTCTAAAAAATACAAATTTAAAATTTAATAAAAAACAGATTATTATAATTAAAAAATCATTCATCTTTATTATATAGAAAATCAATTCAAATCTTGGTTTTATATATTATTAAAAATTTTATTTGATTACACATAGATTTAGAATTATTGTGAGTTAAAAAACCCGTGAAATTCACTTGATAATTTTTTTTTTAAAATTCTGATTATAAAATAATTCTAAAAATTACAAATTTAAAATTTAATTAAAAAATTATGGTTATTTTCATATTAATTACAGACAATTTTTTTAATATTGATATTATTATAATAATAAGAACAAGCAACAATTATCAACCTTTCAACTACATAGTGCTAACGTAGAGAATGCATTTAAGTCAGAAAACTGTTATAAACTATGCACACGATCAAATGCCATAAATCTTTTGATGGAGTATTTATTATGTATTCATTATATTATGATAAATGGGTGGATCCCTCTGCATGCCAGCTTCTTAACGTTTTTCTTTGTTCCTATTTAACAGTCATCCCATAAAAATGTGCCACGTGTCATTATTAATTGTCTAATATGACTCAAAGAATTCGAGAAAGAATGATTTAAAATCAAAACCCGAATGGAACAATTGGTTTTTGATTTGTATGGAAAAAAGTTAAGAGAAGAGGACGGGAATCTGTTCGGATGATGGAAAAATCTATCCGACAATATTTTTGGTCGAATTATCATTACATTACTCGCACCTTGAGTTGATTTTTCTCTTGTGATGATGGTAGCTATCAGCTTCGATCTATGACAAAAGGACGGTTTCTTCTCCGCAGGTGATGAGGTTCAAGACTTCGACTGCTGATTTGTATGTTTCACTTTTGCGTTTGTGATTTGGTTGAATCATCAGATTGTCGACTAGGGTTCTATATTTATTATCCGAGCTTTATTTTTTTTGGGACTCCTTTTGTGTCTTTGATTGTCCTGATTTATGATACACCAGTTGTGTTGAGGTTTTGAAGGGAAATGGTACATTTAATTATTTTTATATAATTATATGTTTTTGCCAAACCACATATATATTTCACAAAAAAAAAAAGAAAAGGAAAAAACATGGTCTGAATTTCTCTTTGTAATTATAGAAAAACTTACGCGGACAATCCCATTCACAGCCTCGGCCATCGACCAATCTCATCTCCGTCGCAACGGCAAATAGATGCGGACTTAGCTCTCCAATGTAAGTCTGCTCTATCCAAGATTTACAGTCTGTTAAACGTTTAATCAATTCCAACAATCAGGTATCATGCAAGATGTCCATCTAATATATATATCGTTTAAAGCAAACCAGCAGGCACGATTGTGGAGGACCCCCGCTCATGGAGATAAGCCAATTTGGTCATGCCATCAACTCCAGTGGGCGGCACCTCTGTATGTTTTGGATGGATGCTGAAAGCTATACTATTCTAAAGTTTCACCAAATGAAAAAAAACCACTCCCAACATCCCCACATGACAAAAAAAGATTACAAAATAATCTTGTGAACCATTTATTTCCTTTTATTTCAATGATCTTTTTTGTCGACAATTGGTTTTTAATATAATAATTAAAAAAGTAATCTTGTGGCAAAATAAATCTCAAACTCCACTCCGTTTCGACTTTAATATCATTCAAAACTCATTGTTATCTCTCCCTCACAAATACATTAAAGACGTTATTCAATACCTTTACACATATTATATATATATGTGTGAGTGAGATGTAGAAAGTTAAATTAAATTAATTTGTGTTTACGCTTCGTGTTCTATTGATCCTGTCTGCAAGGGCTTTGCTTTTTGTTGATTTTAGAACTGATCATGATGCTGCCAGGTACCTTTGTATGTCGGTCTTTTCTTTGCAAATAAAATATCATCCGGCAACGGTGAGAAGCAAATAAAACGTAAGGTTTTGAATTCTACAATCTTCAAAGAGGTAAAGTTGCAGTAATTTTTCCTAACCATGTTTTGACACTAGATAATTTTTTACTATATTTTATTGGTGATTCAGGTTAAAGGTGAAAGAAAAATGCTTTTCTGACAACTGCTCTATCCAAGTGCGCCTCCAAAACTTCAATCTCTAATGGCGAATGATATTTGATCCAACATCCCCACATGAAAAATCGAATCTTTTTATTTTTATGATATTTTCGCCTTTGAATATGATTTATATCTATTTATGGTGATGTATCATTGTCCTTAGGTCCAGGGGTAAAATTGACAAATTCGAGAATATGTAACAAATACGGATGGGATGAAAACCCAAATAACTGTGCTGGGTGATTCACTAAAACAAAAGAACAAGTAATCCACTTATCTAAATTTGAAACGACACAATATTTAACCAACCACTGAACCTTATTAGACAACCATATAGACGGTTGTTTCACTTTTTAATGGATTAGTTTGAGAAGTATTTGAAAGATACAATGTTGGTCATTAGAAAAGTCACGTTACGTGATCGGAAATCGTCTACACCAGAGATACAGTCGATCGATATGGTGACCACATAGCAGCGTCACCTGCCGAACATATTCAAAGTTTATATTTTTTTTTTCCTTCTGCATGTATGTCTATGACTATATGTATGTATGTAAATATGTATAGATTTAGTTTTTACTATTAATTTTTGTATTCTATTATTTTGCTAATTAATGAAGAATATGAAATTGAAATATGTAACAGTTTTCCGACTAGGTATTTTTATTATTATATTCATACAATTGTTATAATCTTATCAAAGTCTTGCTTTCATCATACATAAAATAAAGTTTTTTGTCCTATTTCATATAAAATATCCAACATGTTAAACAATCCAATTTTTAAGATCCCATATACACTGGTACATATATAACTTAAACATTTGGATACTATATGATAACTAGAAAACATAATAGGAAACTTTTAACAAAAAATATTTTAAATAAAATTTGTATTGTTATTTTAAATTTAAGTTATTGATTTATAATATAATAATAGATCGTCTAAAAAAATATAATTATGAAGAAATTGATAAGATTTTAAAATAGACTGGTGTAATAAAATTTGAAAAATTTAATCATTTTACAAAAATATATTTTTAATAAAAAATTAAATGACTTTTTTATGAAATAAAATTCAAATTTAAGTTGAATCATTCAAATCTAATTTAAAAAAATTACACTTTATGAAAATAAAATGTAATAAAACTTTATGAATAAAAATATACACGATTCCTAAAATATAGGACATGTATAAAAATTTTCAATGAATTACCAAAATCATGAGTTCAAATCAATAAAACAATTTATATTTATCTCCTTTTATACAACGGATATTAAAAATAATTAATGTAAAAACCACAAGATATACTAAAATTGTGCAATAATACTAAGAACACAAAATTTATAAATAAAAAAATTATTCAACGAAAAAATATGAAATTGAAAAATATAAGAAAAATAAATATTTGTAACAAATTATCTATAATCTAAATAAAGCAAATACATAAATTAAAATACTATTCCCTCCATTTTATTTTAAATGTTTTTTAAGTTTAAAACACATAAATTAAGGAAAAAATAATGATTTATCCAAAATATCCTTATTTATTATATAAAAAATTGTTATTCCTAAACATCTAGAACATTTAAGTATTATTAATTAGGGATAAATTTGGAAAAAAATTAAAAACTACATGAAAAATCTAAAAAACGTCACTTATTTTGAAACAAAAATATTATTGTAAAACATCATTTAATCTTAAATGAAAGGAGTATTATTTATCTACTAATCATATATTTACAAAATTTTTACAGAATCCTGTTAATAGTTTTACAGGATTATCTACTAATTATATTTATACAATAGTATTATAAAATATCATCTAATCTGAAACAAAATGAGTATTATTTATCTACTAATCATATATTTATAATATTTATATAGAATCATGTTAACCGTTTTACAGGATTATTTATTAATCATATTTATACAATATTATTTAAATATTTTTGTTGAAAAAGTTGACGACGTCGTTTATTATTAAAAACTTACCAGATTCGTCAAATTATAAATAAAAATTTAAAAAATAACATATCCTTGAATTTTTTTGTGGTAACAAATATTATTGAAATTTTGGTCACAATAGAACGATCAAATTTACGAATCGTGTCATCAATTTAGAAAATTATTCTCCGTTTATTATTAAAAAAATAAGTTTTATATGTCTTAATTAAGTTGAAATCTATACAATTTTAAAAAATGATTTCTTACTTAATTTCAACCAAACTAACATATAATATCGATATAAAGATATTATAATATGGTTAAAATCTCAGTAAGGATGCATTGACAATAGAAATTCTTCTGAATGAATAGATAGATTGATTGTGCGAAAAACTTTTGTAGTCGTTAACAGTGCAAATCTAAAACTTTTCAACGATAATTACTAAACCACATATAAATCTCTAGATTATATATATATATATATGTGTGAAAAAGTAACTTAAAAAATCACATATTTCCAAAAAAAATTCCATGTAAAAATACGAACTACAAAATTTCTAAGAAAATAAAAAATTCTAAATTTTTCCCGATATTCTCTCTAACTTCGTTAACTATTTAACGGATCCGATGATATATCATTCCCACATTAAAAAAATATCATACCATTATTGCCAAATATATAAAGTTAACTATTAGTAAAATAAACAATAATTATAGATGTAATAATATATCATTTTTAGTATTCTCTTAGACTTAATTGTTTTAAAAGAAATCAAAGAAAACATATTAACAATAAGTATGTTTAGAACAAATCATTGATATCGAACTTATACATCGTCAATATAATGATATTTTGGTTACTTCTTTATTTTTAGATATATAATTTTATAATAATTTAATAGAGATATCTCCCAAAAAACCTTGTACTCTTCTCAGGTCAATGATGATGTGCGATAATCCTGATGATATGGGTATGACTTGGAAGCCATATCATTGTCATATCATCATTTTTGTTTGAGTTGGCAAGACGCGAGGGCGAGGGATTTCCGACAAATTTTTAAAAAGTTCTGGGTTTTAAGGATTAATCACATCAAGTATAGAGTTTATTTGGTAAGTAAAAAAATATAGAGTTTTGTCGTTGACGTGAGAAAAGTACATAGTTCTTTTGACGATTTTTTCTAATTTAATCTTATAAATATATTTTTAAAATCAAATAAATAATATATATCATTTTTTATCAAATTTATATAAATAAATATTTTACAAATAATAAACAAAATAATAACCCGCGCATCGCGCGGGTCTTGAACTAGTTTTTATAAATGATGTAGAGCTTTCTTGTACGAAAATGTCAGAATTCCTTTCATAAATTGATTCGGTGTCAGAATTGTCATTAATTTCTTAAGCGGTGGTACTAATTTAGAACATTGTAACATTTAGGGTATTAATTAGAAAAATTAAAAATATAGATATTTATTTAGTATATTTTGAAAATTTGAGGTATTTGTATGAAAATTTCCTTTTTTTTTGTAAAGAATAATTTGTCTCCTTTTCTTTTAGTTTTTGAAAATTATATTATAAATCGAAGTCGAAATTACACCAAAACCATGAAAATTCAATCATATTGGCAAGGGCCACTATAGAAATTTTCAAAAGAAGAATCATGAGTTTGTTTGACTTATATTTCTTGCTACAATAAACTTTTCCATAATGCACATTTCTGAATTTAATATATAAAAAAAATATTAGATATTTATGATAGTTCAATTGATTTCCATTTCGAATTCGAAATTCAGAAAGTATATTTTAAATCACATAGATCATCTGATCCTTCGATTAGTCTAAACTTTGGTATAAAATACTGGGTTACAAAAAAAAACGTTGTGATCGTAAATCTTTTTATTATTTTTTTTTTCCAAGAGATTGCATGAGCATTGCTCATGTTACAACAGTGAATTCCCTTTTCTCCACTTTGTGAGATGCAAATTTAAACACCTAAATTAATAAAACCCATACGCAGAATACAAAAAAAAAAAAAAAAAAAAAAAAAAAAAAAACTCGCCCAAAAAATAAAAATCAGTTCTTGTCGGTTTTTTCAACGGAGATCTTGTTAATGGACAGCAACTTGCTGAACATCTTCTTCGGCCGACCAGGAATCGCACAAAACGCCTTAAACCGCGACGGAGTTCTTCCTCTCACGAAGCTCTCGTCCACGTCATCATCTTCCTCCTCCAGTTTGCTTCTCAATGTCCCTGAAGCTTTCAAGGCCGACACGCTCCACTGATCGTCTGGTGGTCCGATGCTCGTTGCCGTACTGTACGGAGGAGCTTCGCCGCGAGTAGTGCTGTGACGTGGCTCGGTAGCGGCTCAGTGGTCTTGCCGCCGGTCATGGCGGCGCGTGCCTGCTCGTAGAATACGACCTGAACCACTACTCTCAGTGGCAGCTTCTCGTTCTGTGCCGCGTGCATGCACGCTTCCATCGACAGTTTCTTGCAGTCCAAGATCCTGCAAAGCCTCTTCCTCTCGGCTTTGTTCAGATCTGGATGAGCCTGAAACAAGGACAGAACAAAAAGATAAACATGTTTCTGCCCTAGAAACCTAGAAATATCTTCGCAGTTTCCGGCTCAAGGCATCAAGATTCTTCGTCGTTGTTACCAGGTGAATCTTGAAATGTCGAATCTAATCCAAGAATTCGGATGTGAAGGAGTGTTTTTACCTTGAGATAGATGTCGATGGCTCGGTATAGATCATCGTGATCGAGCCTCGAGAACTCGGGAACGCTCCCGGCGAGCAAAATGAACTTGGAAAGCGGAAGATTCTCGTCCATTGCAATCTGTTGAAGGTATCCATCCACGAGCTTTGCGACCTTAAGCTTGGAACTGTGAGAAGCCGAAGAAGATCTCCTGCTCTCTTGGAACTCGAGATCAAAGTTCTCGGTGGAACGAGACCGTCTTCTCCTCGGTTTCACCCTACGGGGGCTTGTCGGGGGACTCTGTCCTTGCAACATAAACTGCTCCAAAATGGTTGCGACAATGTCTGAATCGTACAACAGATTGGATTTGTAAGAAGCCAGTGGTATTAACAGATCGCTAACCGTCGCTTCATCTAACTGGAGAGCGACCCTTTTCGCCAATTCCATCTTCGAAGATGAAGAAGCATTCAAAATGTTCGACGCTTTCAATAACTTAAGCAAGAAGCCGCAAGAGACCGCGCCTTTCTCTGCAGGAAGCAAGCTTATGATAGATTCCAACAACAACCTACGCTTAGAGAAAGTACAACCCTCGTCTGCAGATTCCGAATCCGAATCCACTTTCTTACAGACGAATTTCCGGTTCATCGGTATACTCGGAAGCCATTTCGAAGCGTAAACTCTCAAAGCATCGCCTATAAGAACTGCAGGAACCTTCCCGCCGGATTTAATGGCGATCATCGTCCTCCAGTAAAGATCGATCCCTAGTTCCGCGATATCTTCAGCCCACCAGCCTATACTCACAGGTTTACTCTGCCTTCCGCTATGGCTATGCCTCTCAGCTCCACCATTGCAGGACGGGTTTCGAGAATGGGCATGAGAGAGAGCAGCTTTCGACGGGCGAGACACCACCTTAGAGGCTATAGCCTCGATGCACTTGCCCGTGATGGCGAGATCTTCAGACCATGAAGGGAAAGCCTTTGTTGTCTGGAGCGTGAGGATCGAGTCTCTCCAGCCATTGATGATGCAAGAGCTGAAGAAAACTTGTAACTTGTAGCCCAAGTTACCTTTCTCGACATCCTCCGTCATCTCCAGATACTCCGCAGCACATCTCGCTGCCACGACGTTGTAAGCGCTTATCGTGATCGTGATTCCGTAGCAGAATTTCGCGCACAGCTCGAAGGTTTCGACTCCACCCGGGAAATCGGGGAGCTCGATCGCGGAATCTTGAGATTCCGAGAATATTCTCTGTAGCCTCAGACACTTTGAAAGGAGTGGAAACTGCAGAACAGGAACACGAAGTAAGCTCCTTCCATGGCCATCATGAACAAACGCCACGGAACAAGAAAGATGGATTACCTTGTGAAGAAAGTATTTGCTTCCGGACACTTTGATTACGATGTCACTGGAAACTTCTGACGAAACACACCTACAGATCCAAAGGAATCGACCGTTCAGACCAGAGACAAGTGATTCAAAGAAAATCCATTTCTGAGTTCCGAGTTCCGAGTTCCGAGTTACCTTACAGAATCTGAAGTGTGGAAGGTGTCAGGTCGAGATCCGAGTTTCATAAACTTCATGGCTGACGTTTTCTTGTAGGTTTTTTTCTCGATCTCATTCAAGAGAGAACACACAGTTCTTTCCCCGGAAAAAAACAAACAAACAAGTTTCCTGTCTGAAACGCAGCGGAAATCACCGAAATCAGAACAGATAACAAAAATTCCTGAAAGTTTTTCGAGACTTTATAAACCAAAGAGAAAAAAAAAACAAATCTTCCCAATGGGGTTTTCTTGCTCTGAAAAACTCGGAAAATTCAGGCCAAAGCTTAATGCAAAGGGAATCAAAGACACTGCACAGAGATTTCAAGGAACATGAGTGAATATCACATCAAGACATTAAGGGAAAAAAACAACAGAAACATAACTACTAATGCTGTAACCATACAAGATCAAAAGAAAGGTTTTTTTTGCTTTCATTCATTAAAAAAAAACACTTACTTGGGGTTGGAAAGAGCAATAGAAACAAGTCTGTCTCCCTCCCTCTTCCTCTCTCTCTCTCTCTCTCTCTCTCTGAGGAGAAAAAGAAAGTGGGTTTGGGGATATAATCAACGTGGAATCTTTGATTTCTGTATTTTTTTTTCTCCTGGAAACCCTCGTCACCAATCATGCAAAAGACGAGAAAAAAAAGAAGAAAAAATCAGCTTCGAATCAACCTCTTTTGTATTCTCTTAAGCTGCAATCTTTATTCTTGATACATGAAAAAGTTTGCAAATCCGTGGATTCTTTTTCATCTAAAGGCGATGAATTTATATTTATATATATATATATATATATATAAAGATTTGTCTTTTTTTTGTGTGTGTGTGTAAAATGGTGCTAAGGCCATTTTTTGCCAGCGTGCAAAGAGAGAGACCAATCCCACGTGCTTCTGCTGTGAGCCCACTTCTGTCTTCCCCATCATTGCCACTCTTATTTTCCTTTTTTTATTATAAAAAATACAAATCTCTACATACTTGATTACTATTTTTTTTTTCTAGGTCAACATTAAACTTAGACCACTCATTACTCATTGATATCTTCGGTTTATTTTTGTATATAAACTAGGGGTGGGCAAAAATACTTGAATACGCAATTCAACCCGAATTTTCGGGTATCCGAAAATTCGAGTATCTGAGCGAACGAGATATGAGATCGGGTATTAATATTAGAATATCCGAATTTTCGGGTTCGAATTCAGATAATGGTTAGTATCTCATGGGTACCCTCGAGTATCCCGATAATAAAAAAATGTCTTAAAATTTAGATTTTTTATTAGATTTTGTATTATTTTATTTAATATTTACGATTATATAGATATTATTGGATATATTTATGATGTATTTTTTAAAAATAAATTTATTTTAGATATAAATACAATTTAAATTTATTTTGAATGATTTTGAGTATGTATATATAAATATATTTTAAAAAAATTGATTGAAAATAATTACAAATATTCGGGTTCGGATACTTTCGGGTATTTGAGAATTATCTCACGGGTTTTTGGGTTCGGGTATCCAACTTCATGAGTATGAGATTGGATAATAAAACATATAATCCGAGACGTTCGGATTCAGTTTCGGGTATCCGACCCGTGTCTATCCCTAATATAAACCATATAGACGAGCATTTGTAGGCGGATAACATCCCGCAAATATAACAAAATAAAATAGAACAGAAAAAAAAAGTTGTGTATGGGAATATAGAGGACGGTATTGGTAAAATTTAACTTTTTTAGATATTAAATATTTGAGAAGAGTTTAATACACAACATGAAATTAAAATATTAATCAGAATTTGAAACAATTCTGCTCGGTAATTGTATTTAAATATTAATTAAATTATTTGTTATTGAAATTAATTTTCATATATATACTCCAAATGTTTATTGGCATTCTCGTCCAACGGGACTGATACAATTAGCTGTTTATCATTAATGTTTTTACCTACTAATTGACTTGGGTGTTTAAGACCTATCAAATGAATATTTTTCTATTAATATTTTTAATCCATTGAAAGCTTTAAAATTAAGGGTTTTTTTTTGCATTTAAAAATCACAAAAAAAAACTCAAATCTGAAAAAGAAAAAAAAAAGATTGAATTGTTAAGCAGTCATATTGTCAATAAAACTATTAATTTCAAAATGGTATACAATAAAGTGCCAACAAAAGTGGACAATAAAATAGACAATATTCTCTTTTATTCTATCTATTCTAGTCTATAATGAGTTCACGCACTAATATATATATATATATATATATGAAAATAAGCAAAAGAAAGAGATAAAGGATGAATATGAAGTGTCTTATTGTCCTTCACTAAAAGTTTTTAAGCCAAAAATAAAAACGGAATTACGTGCCAAAAAAAATAAATAAAAGGATTGAAATGTCGTATTTTCCCCATCTATTGCGACTAAAATTCCAAAATATAATATGTTGTGGTGAAGAAAATATGTTAATTAATGCTGAAAATAAGATGTACATATATGACGATGTAAAGTGATAACAAATGAAACGGAAATAATTTAAAAAAACGAAATCATTAAACATTACGGAATTTTAATTATGTTTTGTTTTTACTGCTAACAGTGAAAATAAATTCATACGTATTATAATTTTCTTTAAAAGGTATATAAATAAATAAATATGTATATTCTTTCTAGCTTTTGCTTCTTTTTAGCAGTTCTTTTGGGTCTAAAGTTTGATGCCATACTTCGAGAGATAATGCATGGAAAGAACAGTAAAGGAAAATAGGGCATATCGTGACTGATGACTTTACTAACATTACTTACATTTTTTTTACTTACAGGTTATACACTTATAGAATAAATTGTTAAACCTTTATAAAAAAAAATATTAACAACATATTATATACGATCTTAATAATCGGATCCAATAAAAAAAACGAGTTTAGGAGTCTTATGTTTTGTGGTTCTTTAAGAAAAAGGGGACCAAATAAAATAAAATAAACCCTAAGCAGGCAACTTATTCAATCATCAGTAATGGGCCTTTGGAACATTTATATTTTACTTTATTTTATTTTTCAAAAGAATTACGTGAAAATAAAAAAAAGTGGATAATGATTTATAGAAAGCCTACAAGATCCGATCTTGAAAAATATTCGAAATAGAAAAAGGTAGTATATATTTGTACCGAATGTCTTTCATCGTAGTTGAACTAGAATCCAGGAACTAACCTTAGGATTTTCCCGTGATTATTGATGCAGCCAAAATAATAAAAAACGACCGACGATTAACAACAAAGTTTTTATTTGTTTTACTTGAAAAATGGCATGTTCATGTTCATCATCAAAACAAAAAGACGATACACACACACATATATATATATATATATGACGTATATCTTGAACTTACCAAATAAAACATAATTTAGACAATTATGGAAGGTTTCGAAAAGATGTAACGAGATTTCTCAGCCTCTCAAAGTCACTTAGCCCAAACCGGGACAAGAAAACCGGCGGTTGAGGGAACAAATTCCTCGATATGTCACGGTTCGACCGGTTTTGGTCGGTCCGACTGAGACCCAAACCTGTATTGGCTTAAATCGCTGCCCTGATGGCATTCTCGGTATTTCAGCAGTTCGTCGAGGGTAGTTTCGAGATTTAATGGTCCTAATGTCAACAGATAAAAAATAAAATAATAAAAGAAAAAGATTTGTAAGATTTTGTGTGATTTTAGTTTGATCGTGTGTGTATTCCGAGTGGGTGACCAACCGACAAATGCTTCTTTTACGTGGGGTCCACATTTTGGTCCCAAATCGAGATCCTCTGACATGGAGCTGAGCTGGAATTGTTTCGATGGTATGAAATGATATGGACCGATAGATTTCGTATTTTGTGAGTTATTGTATTTTATGCAATGCGATGGATCCAGTATAATTCGACAAGGAAATGATTTATAATTATGAGAAGTTTATTTATATGAAAGTGTTTTTCATGAAACATATCAAAGAATGGGATCGTTGCAATCTATTTATCATAGTTTTCATTTGAATTCCTTTTGGCAGCTTGGAAAATAACACATTTTAGGAAATAAATTTGAGATTATGGAAAATTTTGCCTCTGTATTATTTTGTTGTTGTTATAATTGGTAACCAGAATATTTTAAATAGACAATATAGTTCTGTTTATGGAGAATTTTTAATTCTATAAAGAATATAAATTTTAATACAATACAAAATAATTAGAAAATTAAAACAATATAGTACAAATAAGGAAAAATAAAAAATATTGAACTTTTCAATTTTGATTAAAAATACTAATTTTTTATTTGTCAAATAAATATTAAACTTTTTAACTGAGTATAAAAACACTAAATTTTTTAAGTAATCCAAAAAAAATACATGAATTATTTACAATTGTTACAAAATACTAAACTTTTTAAGTGATTCAAAAAAATAAATTAACTATCTACGATTGTTAAAAAACAACTACAATCATTTAACGTATTTGCATTTTTTATGTCATATCAGTTCATTTTGTTTATTTTGACTAAGGTATATGATTATGTGTTTTTAACAAATTTAAAAAATTTAATATTTATTTGACAAAAACAGTTAAACTGTTCTTAGATCAAAATTGAAAAATTCGTCATTTTTTTTGAGATTTTTTTCTAAAATTATAATAATATATTCATAATTTTAAATAATTATATTAATTAAACTTGTTTTATGTTAATAATTCGATGTAAACATAAATGGAACCCACGGATTTAATTATTTTTTAGAGGGACATAATGATAATTTAAAGAGAGAAATAATTGAAAGATTGAACATCATATATGTAAAAACGTCGACGGATTGACGTGATTTAATTGCTAATCTCTTATTAACTACAATTAATACAACTTTCCCTTTTAATCGGTCAAAGATTATATAAGGCAACGCGTGTTAGGGCAAGATGAGTGTAACACGACATAGTCGTATATGTTCCAAACTTTTATCTCATTAGTTGTCGACCATAATGCATATATATATATATATATATGTATTATGTGTGTGTATGTATATATGGTAAAATTACATAAGAGATGTTTGAACCTTGATATGTACTAGCATAATCATCACGTGTTTTATTTTGCTTGATTACGGCCATTGCATGAGTAATTTTGAAATTGTTGTAGTAATCTTTTTTGACCATATCGAAGACTTTAACAATAATATCTATTATAAATTGTATAGATTTTAAAATATATTAGAATTTTAAATTCTTTCGAATATCATTGCCCATAAAGAAATTTTAATTTACATCTATTAGTAAATCAAAATTTAATTGTTTTGGAAAATATCTTCACAAATCATGTACATGATCTAAAAGATAAACTTGTGATTACAAGAATCGATTTCAAATATTTAAGTAAATTTCATTATATTTGCCTACATACATAACATTTTTTTTGCACTAGATACATAAATTTATAATTAGGGGTGTAAAATGGGCGGGTCGGGCCGGGTTCGGGCCGGGTTCAATTCGGGCCTAGAATTTTTCGGGCCGGGCCGACCCGCCCATTTATTTTTCGGGTCTAGGATTGATGGCCCGGAACCCGGCCCTACAGGGCTTCGGGCGGGTTCGGGCCGGGTTTCGGGCTTTTTATTAAACAAAAATATTTTTTTTGCGATAATAATAATAATAATAATATAATAATAATAATAATATTATGAAACATTCAACAAAAATATTTTTAAAACCGATAACAACAAAGTCATTTAGTTCACAAATAAAAATAAAATTGAAAAAATTATCCAATTGTTCAATTCTCCAACACCACAACATGCGATTAAAAACTTTGAAACGTGATAAAAAAAAATAACAAACATAATATAAAAAGAAATTCTATCATGTAATTAATTTAAAACCTATAGAAAAAATCAATATGTTCATATACAAACAAAGGTTTAAAAATATATATATTTGAAAACTTTTACCCTTTTTAAAATGTAAACTTATATATATATATGATGTAATATGGTTAAAAAATTCAAAACTCCCGTCACTTTAAAAAGTTTAATTGGAACCAATATATAAAAGTTCATCATTTGGTTCAAATATATATATATATATATATTTGGGCACACATATTTATAAGTATAGAGAGGTAAAACTTTGGTTTAGAAAAGAAGGTTAGAAAAAACAAAAAAAAATAACGGGCCTCAAGCCCGGCCCGAGACCTGTCTGGCCCGGCCCGATCGGCCCGTAGCCCATTTGGCCCGAGGTCCGAAAGCTCGAAGTTTAATGAGCCTACATTTTTTAGGCCCATGTCCTTATAATTTTCGGGTGGATTCGGGCCGGGTTTCGGGCTCCGGGCTTAATTGACATCCCTATTTATAATCAAGGAATGATTAAGGAAAAAGCTAATGAACCAAGCTGTAATTTGATAGAATCAGATCTCTATTCTTTAATCATATGGATTTTATATGTTGATCCATTTCTTTTTATAAATTTATTCATTATTTTTATAAAAATATTTCATAAATCATTCCGTAATTCATGCGCGATAATGCTATATGATCTTTTGCTTTAGTAAAGTTGGTCGCTCTTCTCTTCCCTCGTATCGCCATCTCTTTCCATTTTATTAACTTGCGTAATTTAATTAATTTCCATTTTAAAATATAAAATTTTAAATTTCTTTATATGATTTTGATTCCCAGATGATTATTAGTATATGATTTTGCGATCTCTATGACTTTAATTAATGTCTTATTCTAATTTTATATGTTTAGCCGTTAGTAAGCATGTGTTTTAATTTCCTTGCCACGTTTGTTTAACCATTTTAGATATTATCCAGAAACAATTTTGAATAGTTCACACTTATATTACATCAATTAACATTAGTTAACAAAGTTCTTTATAAGTAAATTCCATAAACATACCACAATTTGCCTAAATGTGCCACATAAATACCTCATTTTTAAATTGGCAAATAAGTTCCACAATTTAATCATTTTGTATCAAATAGATACCGATCTAGTATATATTTTTACACAAATTGATGTAATTATCGATTAATTAAATCATTGATTTGGTGTCTATTTGGTACAAATTGATCAAATTAGGGTACTTATTTAGCAATTTAAAATTTTGATATTTGTATTTAGTACAAATTGGTTAGATTGAGATATTTATTTAGTAAATTTGAAATTGAGCTATTTATATATACATTGGACTTATGGAATTTTCCCTTCTTTATATTTCGTATTTTGCTCTCTTTTCTAATATATATATATTCAATGCCACAACATAATATCTCTCTCGACACACACACATATACATATACACACACACACGCTGCATATATATATATATATATATATTATAATTCTATGGTTCATATTACGTAGCGAATAAAACCATCTGTAACATAAATTTGCATGGACCACGTAGTACCATCTACACCTTTCACAATCTCACAGGCTTATCCACAAAACACATTTCGGAAACATATTCGATAACAAAAACAAGAAAAAAATCATTTCATTTTATCTTCTCTTTTTTTTTAAAAAAAATATAAAATAATTTCACCAATGTATATTAAAAAGGATTTCGGCTTTTCACCAAAGATTCTACTGATCAATAAATTAAACAAAGACAAGACAAAAGCAGTAGCTAGGAACAGCATATATATATATATATATATAGTATTTGGATGCCCAAAACAAGTTGATACCACATGCAAAAACATGTCCATATTCGTATGAATGGACAGACACATACATTAATCTAATGGGTCTGTTCTTTTATGTTTCTGTGCCCTGAAGGTTATTACGTGTACACACACGTGAAATCTGTCATATATATATGTATATATATTGATATTTGTGCTATGGTTGAATTCTTTGCATATATACTGAAAAAAATTAATATCAGGATTTTTAAGTGACCTAGAGTTTTGAACACTATAAAATGCTCTTTTACATTTTTTTTAAGTTAATTTAACCAATGTATAAAATTTGTAAAAATACCGTTAAAATATTTAAAGCATTAAACTATGCACTCTACTCTATACACAAATTATTTAGATTTAAGCCACTAATAGAAATATCTTTCATAAATGAAATGAAAATTACCTACCCTAAAACGCAGTATACATAATACGCATATGTCGCTTGTAAAAAAATATATTATGTTGTGCAAAAAACTAAACCGTTGATCCCGGTTCGATCATGCCAAACCGACATACCGGTTTAGGTTCTGGGAGATTTAACCGAAGATGTCATGTACAATTCGTAAAGGCTCATTTTGAGTTGGGCTGGGCCGATGACGTGTTTGATTATTGAATCTACACATTCATATATTAAAAGCTGACCATATATAAAAAAATAATATTTATCTCCTTGGAAGTTAGAACTAATCTTTATAATTAAGTCCAATTTCCACACTTGTTTATTATTATTTTTTTATTTTGGTTCGGCGGATAATAAAAATATGATATGCAACTCGGAAACAAAAAAATGGCTAAGAAAGAACAAATCAAAGGCACATGAGATGTTACAGAAACAGTCAAGACTCATTTGGTCATGTGCATTGAACATATTTCACGTTGATTACCCATAAATTTGTATATATTTTATTAGAGAAAGTTAGCAATTTACATTTTTTTAATTTTGTTTTTGTCAAATTTGGATTCCTATTCCATGGGTTTTTTTTTATTATATAAAATAGACATTTCTGGACATATTTATCCTTGTCAAATGTTTTCTCCAAAGATATTATCGCCTTTTCGTATGATAATTTTTTTTTTGTAGAGGTGGAAGTTTCGAGACTTGATTCAGAATTTTAGCGGTTCGGTTCATAAACATTTTATTTGGTATTCTAAAATTTGTACTAAATTAGTACCGTATATTATTTGGTTTGATACGGTTGGATTCTGATTTTTGTTTTAAAAAAAAAATTTAGATTTTGTAAGAAAATTTTGATTTTTCGGAAATTTTATAAAGTTTAGTTTAGTCCGGTTCGGTTCTGAAAAATTTGGTTCTATAAAAAAAATACCGTTCGGAAATTTTGAACGGTACAATTTAGAAAAAATAACGAAATTTTCGATTCGATACGGTTCCATTTTGAAGAACCAAACCGAATCTTCCATCCCTAATTTTTTTTTATCTCAATTTCCGATATCACTATAATACCTGATAATAGATAGAGTCTTAAAGTTTTAAATTGACTATTTCATTATATCGAATATGTTATATATGAAATGTCTGTATACGATGAGACTAAGATTACTCAATCATATAATACAAATTATTATGGAAATGGCTAAATAACTTCGTTCAATTATTAATTTAACCAACTAATTATGGGAGGATAATATAATTAGAATATTGAGAATTCCATGTTCTGCGACCTAATTGTTCAAATCATTGAGGTTTTTGTCCTTGTGGGCTCCCAAGCTCAACCGAAGACTTAAGAGAGTTGAGTCTACGTATAAAGAAAATTATAGTAACGTTAACAGATTGAAGAGATTTATTAATTTGAATAGTAGGCCTTTCTATATATATAACCATTGCTTCCTATAATCGCAACTAAATTTGAAAATTCTTTATATTTAATTTCATATCATTTTTTTGAAGTATTGATAATTTGGGGTAGATAATGTAAATTGATGATATGCTTGAACTATTAATAGCCTCATGAAATTAAACAAACCGTCATTATGTACGTAGGCCTATCTCCCATAAAATTTATTTTTTTTTCTATTTAAAATTTGATAACCATATACTTTTGATATATACATTTTTTTTTTGTCTTACAAGCTACCACAAGCCACAAGGTCAACCGTCATGCCTCAAGAGTGTTGTTATAGATTTATTAAACATAAAAATAATATAAAAAGACCGTTTGAATGATATAAGATATGGTTCGAATTCATTATACCATATACATGCTTTTTACGAGAATCATAAATACACCAAACAAACCAAATACGAGAAGATACGTCATTTGCAAACGTCGTTTAATGACAATGAAATGAAATGAACAACATGGTTACAGACGGTCTTTTTAAAAATATGCTAAATAAATATTCTAACTTTTTAAAATTTTGAACAAATATACAAAGGTTTTGATTGAGAATTGTCATCAATTTTAAGAGTTTGGATATCTATTTGATATATTTTAATATTTGAAATATTATATTATCAAATTAAAATTTGAAATATTTATTTGATAAAATTTGAAAAGTTTCCAATTTGTTTGCATAATTATTTTTGTATAATTTAAAATTGGTGTAATAAACAGAATCAATATTCTATAAAAACTGTACCACTCTATTTTCTAAAATATACGAAAAGTATACGTGATTGACGAATATGTTCGACTGTAAAACCATAAAAACGCGCCACGTGTTGAAAGAAGAGAGGACGTGGAACTGTTCTTTGTTAAAAAAAAAAAAAAGACGCGACAAAAAGCTGGCTGGGGTGTGGGCTGAGTCAAGCGAACACGCGTGGGGTCGCTGCACGAGAAACGGAACGTTGAGAAACCTTCCTTAAATTTACCAAATCATCCCTCAACGTCTCCAGCTTTCGAGCTCTGGCTCTCTCTCTCTCTCTCTCTCTCTCTCTCTCTCGACAATCTCTGTTCATTCTTTGGTTTTCTCTCTTCCGGGCAATTCTTTTCCCTCACTTTCTCGGGAAAAGTATCGGTTTTTCTGGGGGAAAGATTCGATTTTTTTATCTGGGTTTGCCGGAGATCGGTGGGTTTATTTCCCGGCGGTGGGCGGTGAAGGAGGTTGAAGAGTTTGAGATTGGAGTGAGATTTAAAGGAGGAGGAAAAAATGTGGTGGATGATGGGTGAATCCGGTGGTCACTACTGTTCGAAAAAGTTCGATGATCTCTGCGGCCAGGTTCATCTCTCTCTCTCTCTCTCTCTTCTTCTTCTTCTGATGAATTTTATAGTTACTTAGTACATCGATAATCGATTCTCTGTTTGGTTCGTGAGCGAAGAAAAGTTTAGATCTTTGGACAAGATAATTGGAACAGAGAAAAGGGCAAAAAGAAGAAGCCAGTTTGGCTAAAATCTCTGATTTTCTCAGAATGATTTCCAGTTTCCCGCAATGGGAATTGAATTCGTTTCCCAGCTAGTCTCGATTTAGGTCTCGCATGTTACAGGACTAAATCAGCCAATCGTCAGAGATATAATTCTTCCTGAATTCGATTTAGTCTCATCGATCAGTTTGCCCGTAACCTCTCTGTCTTCAAGCCGATTCTCTCATGTCCTGTTCATAAGTTTCTGATCTTTCCCCCTTTTTCATTCGTCGGAAAACAGGAATCGGATCGAGCCTTCGGCGTTTCGAGAATCTGCTGCTTCTTGCGTGGCGTGGACATCAAATCGTATCTGTTACTGTTAGTGTTTCTTCCAATGTGTTTGTTCGGTGCTTACATTCACGGCCAGAAGATTTCGTATTTCTTGAGACCCCTGTGGGAATCGCCTCCGAAACCCTTCAACGAGATCCCCCATTATTACCACGAGAACGTTTCCATGGAAACTCTCTGCAAGCTCCATGGATGGGGCGTCAGAGAAAACCCTAGACGAGTTTACGACGCGGTTCTGTTCAACAACGAGGTAGACCTCCTCACGATCCGTTGGAAGGAGCTTTACCCTTACGTCACTCAGTTTGTCCTTCTGGAATCGAACTCGACCTTCACTGGATTGCCGAAGCCGCTGGTTTTCGCCGATCACAGGGACGAGTTCGAGTTCGTCGAGCCACGACTGACCTACGGGAAGATCGGAGGGAGGTTCAGGAGAGGAGAGAGGAACCCTTTTTACGAAGAGGCCTATCAGAGGATCGCGTTGGATCAGCTCATCAGAATCTCGGGCATAAAAGACGACGACTTGCTCATCATGTCGGATGTCGACGAAATCCCGAGCAGACACACCGTTAACCTCCTCCGATGGTGCGAGGAAATACCCGAAATCCTCCACCTCAGGCTCAAGAACTACTTATACTCGTTCGAGTTCCTGGTCGATAGCAAGAGCTGGAGAGCCTCAGTTCATCGGTACAGGACCGGGGAGACGAGATACGCCCATTTCAGACAGGCCGACCAGATCTTGGCCGACGCCGGATGGCATTGCAGCTTCTGTTTCCGACGTATCAGCGAGTTCGTGTTCAAGATGAAGGCTTACAGCCACTACGACAGGGTGAGATTTTCTCGGTACCTCAGCCCTAAGAGAGTGCAGAGAGTGATATGCAGAGGGGACGATCTGTTCGACATGCTTCCGGAGGAATATACGTTCAGAGACATCATCGGAAAAATGGGTCCGATCCCGCATTCGTTTTCCGGCGTCGATCTTCCGGCGTTCCTGCTGGAGAATTCCGACAAGTACAGGTTTCTGTTGCCTGGAAACTGTTTGAGAGATTGATCCTCAAAAATTTATACTCACTGATTGTTGTTGATTCTTTGTTGGTTAGAAAGTTCGAGTTTTTTTTTTTGTTTTTTTGACGAATTCTTGGATATTTTTGTATATATGAATTAAATTCTATTTTATTTGGTAAAATTCGAAAATTAGAAAAGGTAATGTTCGGTCGGCATATGGATATATATGATTATAATGACAGTGATAATCTGCTCTTGAACAGCATTAGATTCGTATTCCATGTCAAGAACAACCATTCGACCACTCCTTGACTACAAATTATTATTTTTAGGAATTTCTCATGTTTCTCTATCCCGAATATATTTGTGTGTATCTAATTGCTCCATGTGTATATATGTTATTAATATTGTCTTTTGTCTGTATTGAAAATTTTCTAAATCACACACACATATATATATATTGGCTTCTTTTTCTCCTTTTTTGGGTATCATATATATATATATAGGGATAATCCCAAAAAAAACTCAAACTTATTAAAATGTTCCACATAAAATGTTGAACTTGCAAACTCCCACAAAAAATCCTGAAATTGGTAAAAACTTCCACAAAAATTACAAACTTATCATTTTCTTCCATATAAAACCTTTGACTTATTTGACCAAAATTTTCGCTGACGTGGCACGACGGATTGCTGACATGACGTTGACTAAGTTGCCACATCAGCGCCACATCATCATTTTAAAATTTAAATATTTGATAAAAAATATATATTTACAAATATATGTATGTAAATTTATATTTGATTAAAATATATTTATATATATATATATATGTAAATTTATATATTTGATTAAAATATTTGTATATTCAAAATTTTAAATTACAAACTTAATATAAATACAAGTAAGTTTCTAATTTTTTTATCGAATATATATATATATATATATATATGAAGTTTGTAATTTAAATATACAATATATATATATATATATATACCTATACATACATACATACAGTAGTGAACTCAGGAAGATTTATGATTGGGGGCAAAGTTAATTTCATAATGGTAATTTTAATTATTTTATGGGGACATATAATAATTTTGTGTAAAATTTTATAAATTTTGTAAAGAAAATATTAATTTGTTTTAAGTAAAAGGGTGGGGGACCTGTGACCCCACTGCTAAAGAGCTGGATCTGCCCCTGCATACATACATAGACATATATTTTTATCAAATATATATATATGTATATATATTAAGTTTGTAATTTAAAATTTTAAATATACAAATATTTTAATCGAATATATAAATTTATAAATATATATATATATATATATATATATAAATATATTTTAATCAAATAGAAATTTACATATATATATATATATATTTATACATATACATATTTTTATCAAATATTTCAATTTTTAAAATGATGATGTGGCGCTGATGTGATAATTTAGTCAGCACCATGTCACCAATCTCTCATGCCACATCAGCAACATTTTTGGTCAAACAAGTCAAATGTTTTATATGGAAGAAAATGATAAGTTTATAATTTTTGTGGAAGTTTTTAACAAATTCAGGGTTTTTTATGGAAGTTTGCAAGTTCAGAGTTTTATATGAAATATTTTAACAAGTTTGATGTTTTTGTGGGATTATCCCTATATAAATGGGATCATGTCCAATTTCCATGGTAGTTTATTGCCGTAAGAGAAACGGTTTTTGTCATCGTTTGGATCCCAAAATAAAAACTAAAATAAAGAAAGCAAAAAGCGAAATATATGTATATGTATATGTGTATATATATATATATATAACAGTTGCCATTTGACATCTGATTCGCATTAAAAGCAGGCATAAACATTATTGTGAGAAATGATGGAAGTATTATGCATATATGCATATATATGCATGCATGTCTGCATGTATGTATACATATATATGTGTATATATATATGTATGTACGTATGTATGATAGAACCAGAATACATACGGTAAACATAGAGGGAATCAGAATAAAAAAAGGGGCCTATTCAACTTTCGGTTAGAGATGGGTAGACAAAGCATACGATCCAAATATCCAAATATGCAATCATATCATATCACGAACTTACAAAAAAAAATTTCTATAAAAAGCATCATAGTCAACAAAAAAACACACTACTCAAAACATCACAAAATCGAACAAATTCAAAATACAAAAAAAAATTAAAGTTAAAAAAAAAAAAAAACCACGATGAAAGGATTAGAGAAGCCAAGGCTAAATGACAACTTGGTCGGAGGAATGTACGGCCAAACGCAAAGACAACGCTTCCAAGCCCACGTCTACGAAGAGTACAAAACGTACGGAAGGTTCCACGAAGAGATAGAGGAAGAGTTCCCTCTCGGCGGCGGCCGCCACCAGCAACTGACGCTCGGCCCTTCCTACAATGGCAAGAAAGAGGATTACGGCTTTAAGCACGGATTCGGCTACAAGGGCAAGGAGGAGGAAGAGAAGTACGGTTTCAAACACGGATTTGGATACAAGGGCAAAAGAGAGGAGGAGGCCGAGGCCGAGGACGAGGAGTTATATCGAAACCCTAAACTTAACTTGATGCAGAGCCGTGCCTCCCGTCTGCCGCCCTTGAAGTGTGAGGCTCGTATTTCGGATGATGATGATGAGGAGGAGGACGATTACCGTGTTCGCCTTAGGCAGTACCGAAAGGAACACGAAGGGGACAAGGTTAGGCATCAGCCACATCTACAATACAAGCCTCATGCTGTGCATGGCGAGGAGGAGAAGGATTACCGATACAGGAGTTCTCAATTACATAACCATGGCCGTAGCTCGAATTTCAAGCTTACGCCTCCTATGACCCCGCCTAAGAAAAACAACGTAACGTTACGCTTTCTATCTCTATGGTTTTTCTTTTTAAAATTTTCACTTTTAAAAGTCTATGAGATGAAAAAGCGATCTATTGTGATCTCCTCTAAGAAGAAAACATAAAACTAGTCGTCCATTTCAATGTTTATTTGTAACCGAGTCTAACGAACCAACTAGTCGCAGCTCCGAACTGAACTCTTACGAGCCAGCTCGACGAGTCACGAGCTACCTCGCGAGTTGAGTTTTTTTTTTAAATATATATTTTTTTACATTTTTATTTTTTATTGGCTATATATGTATAACTTCTTCTATATACTTCAGTTTAATGTTTTAATACTTAAATTTCATATTAAAATATCATTTATTTGGTATTTTTTATAATATAAATAAAAAATATTATATTTTTTTTACTCGCGAATCTACTTGTTTAGCTCGTGAAATAAACGAGTCGAATTGAGTCGGAATTTTTTTTATTATGGTGAATCTTAGTTTTTTTTCTTTTTTCTTTTTAATTTAAAAAAAGGTATTGACTGTGGTAAATACATTGTAGAGTATATGAATCTTGTATTTCCTTAACTAAAAAAATTGCAATTAATTTAACAGAAGGTGGTGAGCGATGGATGGCACGGCCGGCAGGAAGAAACACACAAGTTTGTGGACCCCGAGATTCTTACACGTCTAGTGTTCATAAAGCCGAGCCCCGGCGGTCCGGAGATGAAGTGGAAGGAGACAGCTGCCGCCATGGGGAGCTGGAGGGTTCAACATGGTGGCTACATGGAGGCCAAGTGGGCCCGTAATGGTACCTGACCTAATAAGACACGCACATCTATATACACACACACATATATATATATATGCACTTATGTATATGGATGATCGACGAAAGAAGTTTGTGCGTCCTATCCTTACGGAGACGAGACGGGTCTTGTTGTTGAATTAATAAGTGATATATGAATAATGATTTTATAACTATAAGAGTGAAATCGAATGTATAATGTAATCATCAAATACGCAGTGTGGAATATAATGTTTGAGGTTAAGTGAGCAATTACTATTATATTCACATGATTAGGGTATTTATTACAAGTAGTTTAACCTAATTACAATGTGTAAAAGTACACATTTATCCTTATATATGGAATGATATATAGGGCGGGCCTTGCCATCATATGATTTGGTGAAAACTATGAAAACTTTTGCTCCTAAATCGGGCTTCCTATTCTGATACCACAAGCTATGTCGACACAGCCTCTGTGTGACACCCGTAACCCGTCTCCCGCTCACGAGTTGTGCCACATGGACGCCCAAATATATAATAAAATAGCGGGAATTTAAAAACATTTTATTTTATTACACACGCAGCGCAAAAACCAGTATTTGTTTACAAACCCACGTACAGTAGTATACACACCAACATAAGGACGGTAACCGTAATAAAATACAAAGTCAGGTCACCGCCCGTACAAGGCAACATAAGTCCAAAGAAAGAAAAGTACATGATCCAGATAGCTCCTCACACGTCACCAGTACCCTCGTCCTGCTGCTGCCAATACTGCTCCGTGCCTGAAACGTTGCATAACAACGTCCATAAGCTACGTGCTTAGTGAGTACTTCGGGTTAGACCCGAAGATCATACTCAAATTGCAAATGGCCAAACACAATCAATAGTATGCACACGGTACATATAGGTGTACACATATATATACACACTCCATGCCATCAAACATCGTTCACTCAATCGCACAAATAATTCACTTATCAC